CGAAATCCCCATGTTCTTGCTTTCACATAATTCTCAGAGTTTTATATAAGTCAATTTGAAAGTAATTCATCAGTCTGTAGTCAATTTATCCATCCCTATATCAGTTCTTTTCGTCGTTTCGTCTTATTACTTACCCATCTCTGTCTATTCATGTATATCGACTGTCTCTTTCTTTGTCTTTACATCCAGCCATCTAATTCGGTGGTCTCCTATCTGTTGTACGAGAACCACCAGAGATTCAGGGACTTCTTTCTGATGGTCCAAAAAAAAGTATAATTATGTAAATTAAGTGGCAGCGTATTTTATAGATCCCATTGTCGTCTGCGAGATCAAAACCTGCGGGTGGTTTGGTAAAAAAATGTATTTCTCCTTGAAATTCGGCACTTAATATGTTTTAATCTCTTTTCAGGCACATTGTACTACTATATATTAAGAGTAAAAACAACAACAACAACGTGTTTTACTTTTAGTATATTTAATGTTTATCAGAGTACTTAAAATTCAACTAATCCGTTTTTTTAATACATCCTAGAAATTCAAGAGGGCCCTCTGCTTTGCTCAAGACCGAACGACCCCATTAACGGAAAAACCGTCTGTGAGAAACTGAGACATGATGGAAAGTACCCAACTGGCGCTACCTGTCGGTACTTTTGTAACCCTGGATATGAATTATCGGGGTCAGTATCAAATACACCCGTTATGGTGTGTCGAGGGCCCGAGTGGAAAGTGTACAAAGGTGTCAGTTGTGCTTGTAAGTAAAAAATATAGACAGCGTACTCACTATACAGTTGTTTTATGAGTGTCTGATTTGAAATATACATATCTTTCTAACTTCCTTGACAATTATAATATTTCATGTCACTCTAGCTATTAACTTAATACTTAATCACAAACGTGAAACTGATACTAGTAGTTAACCCTAATCCCAAAGAACGCTGGCGCCTGATGGCAAGAGAGCAGGATGTCACGTCACATTAATTTCCACCGAGTGACACCAGTTCCGAAGAGGGTTTTTGATGGTGAATATTAAAAGTGATTTGTTTGTAGTTAAGCATAGAGTTACACAGTGTGTTATCCGTACTCTGTCCATCACGGGTATCGAAACTCGGTTTCTAGCGTTGTAAATCCACAGACATATCGTTGTGCCACTGGGGGGGGGGGGCATTAATGTGATATTGTATATATCACAGATTGTCTACTTGGGTAGAATATTTAATAGTTTATAGCATGATATTAATATATGTTAGACCAAGTCACGTTTACAGTTCCTATATATCATTCAATACGACTACACTTCGTTCAAGTATCAGGAAAAAAATATCGCTAAATAAAAAAAATCTGTGTAGGGCTGGCTACTGAACTTGAAAAAAGGAATTAAACAATATGGGGAAAGAAACGAACATATCACTTGATTCGGGTAATGATCACATAGCAGACTAAGCCGTCTCGACTTTACATGGAGAATATAATCCCAAAATAACTGGCTTCCTTACTAGCAAAATAAATTGAACCAGAATTTCCAATCGTAAAATGTGACTCTATTGTAAAATAGTCATAAAAGTAGTATTCTAAACTTAACTAAAGGAAAGTTATAATGATGAAAGCTGAGATTCTATTCAAACACCAAGCTTTCGATAGACAAAGTGGGGAAGCCAGTAATATGGGGATTATACTCTCCATGAAAAGTCGAGACGGCTTAGTCTGTTATGTGATCATTAGCCAGATCATGTGATATGTCCACTTCCATCCCTATCTTGTTTAGTTCCTTTTTTTCAAGTTCAGTAGCCAGCCCTATATAGATTTTTTATTTAGCGATATTTTTTTTTCCTAATACTTGTTTGTTTACTGTTTTATAAGATGGCGTACATGGGTTACTAGGTTACAGAGTGCATTCTAAAGCTTTATAAATTTTGCTTAACATAATAAAATAGGTTGTCAAAGATTGTGAAGACTGTTTTACTCTATAAAATGATGATAAAAGTATAGTTACTACTAGAATTAGCTAGGCGCTAGACCTATTTAAGAAATATGATGAATGAAAATAAGAAATCTCGCGAGGTTTTGGCTATTCGCCGGTTTTCGACTTTGAGACGCTTTGGATAGCTGAAAAGCGGCATATACACTGTAGATAGAGCAACTATACGAGATCATATCTTTGAGACGCTCTGGATAGCTGAAAAGCGGCATATACACTGTAGATAGAGCAACTATACAAGGTCATATTTTTGAGACGCTCTGGATAGCTGAAAAGCGGCATATACACTGTAGATAGAGCAACTATACAAGGTCATATCTTTTAGACGCTCTGGATAGCTGAAAAGCGGCATATACACTGTAGATAGAGCAACTATACAAGGTCATATTTTTGAGACGCTCTGGATAGCTGAAAAGCGGCATATACACTGTAGATAGAGCAACTGTACGAGGTCATATCTTTGAGACGCTCTGGATAGCTGAAAAGCGGCATATACACTGTAGATAGAGCAACTATACGAGGTCAGATCTCTGAGACGCTCTGGATAGCTGAAAAGCGGCATATACACTGTAGATAGAGCAACTATACGAGGTCATATCTTTGAGACGCTCTGGATAGCTGAAAAGCGGCATATACACTGTAGATAGAGCAACTATACAAGGTCATATCTCTGAGACGCTCTGGATAGCTGAAAAGCGGCATATACACTGTAGATAGAGCAACTATACAAGGTCATATCTAGCTTTTGATGACCCGTAGAGAAGAAAATCCAGATGTCTTATGTATTATTTTAACACGGGCTTCCGTGTCATTCTTACATAGAGGGTGCTATGGCACTCTCCGATAATATAAAATTTAATAACAAACTTACACCTCATCAAATATCATGCAGAACCTGACTAAATCACGTATTAAATAAAAACATAACTACTCTTCATATAATACTAGTGCACTCTCCGGGGCCAAAGTTTGTGAAACTAGCATTCCTCCTGTATTTATATTTCATTGGCTCGTTTTTAAACTATTTTCAACCAATAGCATAAGAGAACCAGAAGTTGTTTTAGAATAAACAATTTTACATTAGTAATATTTTTTATTATTCATAACACAGATTCTAGTACAAATATTAAGGTATTTTACTGATTGAAAATAGATCTACTTCGTAAACATTTGAATGAAATGCAAGAAAGTAAATAAATCTTTCAGCAAACCATTGCTCTGAACCCACGATCCCCAACAATGGCCACCTGGAATGTCCAACATATTCGACGGGCTCTCCTCAAAGTGGCATTTCTGCTAACAATAAGTTAACGTATGCCAGAGGGATTATATGTCACTATCGCTGCTATCGTGGGTATACCATTCCTTCAATCCAGAGAAATAAAACAGTTATCCAATGTATAGGGCCTTACTGGAACAGCACTGTTTATCCTCAATGTAAAGGTGAGTGATAATTCTGCTCCTTGAACTTTTATGGAAGTCCCGGATGTATAGGTTAAGATAAACCATACTCTTCTAATGTCGTAACTACTACCGAGATATTGCCAAGTGTTAAATGTTACAATAATAAACTGAAATGGAGAAGTCGAGTTTTTTAACCAGTTTGTTTTCTTTCGGTATAGCGTTCACAAGAATCACGTTTATATGAAATTATTTGAACAAATATTATGTTTTGAAATTCGGCTGAAAGGGCAAGTTTGTTTGGTGGAACGGGGATTTGAACCTGCTGATTGCCAGTCGAGTGCCCTAACCACTTGGCCATACCAGGCCTAATATTATGTTATGAACTGTGTGATAACGGCTGGAAAATATATAACAATTTTAATAATGGCTGGAGACGGCTTAAATGGGTAATGAAGAAAAACTTTAATATAAGTTTAACATGACAGCAAATGTACAACGTTTCGACAAGGTTTTGTCATCATCTGTACCTGTCATTTTACCTGATGATGACAAAACCTTGTCGAAACGTTGTACATTTGCTGTCATGTTAAACTTATATTAAAGTTTTTCTTCATTACCCATTTAAGCCGTCTCCAGCCATTATTAGTCTCAAAGTGGGTTCCTCGTCATCGAATATAACAATTTTGTTTTTAAATAGAATAGATTTTCTTAAATAATAACAAAATATATCTTATTATTTGTATTTAGAAATTATAAATATTTTTATTCAAAAGTGATTTGATATTATTTTTTGTACAAAAGCTACTCCCAAACCTATAAATTGTACTGACCAAGCCCTAGTGGCAGAAGGTGGAGTTACTGAAGTGAAAACACCCAGGTTTGTTGCTGGAGATGGGACAGATTTAGATGTGGAGTGTGTGATCCAGGGGGAGTTGGAGCCTGGGGAGTACAACAACACATGTAAAGCTACTGATCCTGACTTGGGAACTACTGTAGAATGTACATACAAGATAAGAGTGAAAGGTAATACTCCCCTAACGAATGTAGTTTATATTATGTATAACTTTCTGCCATTGAACATAGAAATCATCATTTAACTTGATTAAGTTTGTTGGCTACGTCTGTAGTTGTTGTGTCTGTTGTTAGTTACGAATATATTAATATCTTTAGTTATCGTGTCTATTAGGATGTGAAAAACTACTGAACTTGAAATTAATGCTGAGTATTAGTATTCTGTAAAGATAATAGATTATGGTTTTTTAAATCCTCTGGTGGTGAATGTTAAAGTGGGGTTTAAATAATAACATGTTTTATACACAAATTAAGAACATTTATTTATCAGTATGACCAAAGTCTGTTTAGCTATATCATTTTAAATTGAAATGGATTCTTCTGATATGATATCTAACCTTCACTCACAAATAGCCATTCTTGACTTATACTGCCCTATATATGCGTAACTTTTTGCTCGCCACTAGCCTTACATGTATTCACTGGATACATCTGCATGCTATCATGCCAATGATCATGCACCGACTTTCTACCAGTAGGAGTGCAACATAACTCCTATCATCTTTAGCACCCTCTCTTCCATGTCACCCCATAATCACTACTCGATTGGCAGTCATACTGCTATGACGTGTTTTCACTCATGCTATTCCGACTGATTGTTTTCATTGAATAGTTCAGTCGAATATTATTCAAGACCTCATAGTATTTCCTGGTTTTTCAAACCATATTTTTTCGAGTTTTCACTATTTTTCGAATTGCTTTTGGACCTTCAATTCTCCCTTTTCCCAGTCCAATCTACTCGTCATGATCTCCTAATTCCACATTGCAACTACCACTGCTTCTTCAACAACATCAGGGCAAGTTTTATCGGCTCAGGAAGTAACAGCTGTGGTTCGAAGGGAATTAGCTACCTGTATGCATGTGTTGCATGATGATTATCCTCACCTACCATATGCAGATATGCCTAAATATGGGATGAGGATTTTGGCAGCCTGCTTCTTCCTCCTGTCTATGCCTCACAGTCACGTTTCGTTTCGGGGGAGGTGCCCAGGCCTCCTCTTCCTCCCTATATCAACTTAATCAATCAGGTATGCTACAATTTTTTCTTGTCTCTCGTGTCCTATAATTCCACACCAGCTATTCTCAGTTATGGGCCAGTGGGACAGTATCTAGTGTTTCCTCTCTCACCAGATATTGTGGTTCAAGTGGGTTGATTTGGGGACCAGTTCCATTTGGGAATCAATATGCAATGCGACCCCATATACTCTGGACGAACATGCATCTATGTTTCCCTACTTCGACTTCCAGCGATTCGGGTCGCTTGTCCCTTTGTGGGGTTTGAACCCCAATACTTCGGTTTTCCTTCTCCCAGCCTCAGTTTTCCCGAATTCGGCTAGGAATCTCCGGTTTTCCACTCTGGCATTCTTCTTTTCTTCTGCCCTTTCCTTGCACACATATGGCTCCTCTGTTGTTGAGACCTGTTGAGTTAGGATGTCCTTTTGTCTCGGATGCAGTTGCCTTCTCATTGTATGATTTTTGCATGGCTCCTTTTCTGTGCCAGAAGGTTTATGGGGGCATTCCCGACTTTTTGAACCCTGGAGTTGAGTCCGCATTGTTGCATACCTTTTTTTCCTCCTTGGACTCCTTTTTCTTCAACCCCTACTGAACCTGTTCCTATATGTCGTTTTCCTCCTTCTTCTCCATAACCGGTTCTAACCTTTTGTATTCCTGAGGCTCACCATAAGTTCTTGGGGCACCATCCTAGGGATAACAGATGGTCTTGATGACTATATTGTGGGTTCAGGTCCTGTAAGGACCAGGCTTCTCCACTTTGCCTACATATGGAGGTCCTTCACCACAGACCCTTGGGTTCTGAGGTTTGTCTCAAAGAGTTTGGTAATTCTGTTTGATTCTCTTACTCTGTTGACCCAGCATCCAGTTTCCTTCCTTTCTCCTTGGGGTCTTGTTTCTAGCCTGCAGCTTTTGGAGGTGGTTCAGGACTTACTTTACATGGGTGCCATCATATGGGGGGGATTCATGTCCTTCAGGTTTTTATTCCCATATGTTTGTCATCCCCAGAGACACCAGAAACTGGCACCATGTCATCAATCTTTTAGCTCTGAACTTCTTCTTGGTTCTCCCATAGTTCACCATGGAGTCATACTTAGCCCTTCAATTGGTTTCACTCCTGGTCTACGTATGATGATGGTTGATGTATTGGATGCGTACATACACATTCCGATTTCCCCTGCATCCAGACGTTATCCTTCTTGTCCATCAGGTGGGAGGTGTTCAGTTCCAGGCTTTTCTGTTCGGACTCGCCTTGGCTCCCTGTTTTTTTCAGGTGGTCTGGATGTTTGCCCTTCTTCTTCATTTCCACCATTACATGGCTGGCTGGCTAGTTTTACTTTCCTCACAGGCTGACACTGCTCTTCATACACAGGTTCTCCAAAGAAAAGTGGCTCAGGCTGGTTGGTTGGTGAATGGGGAGAAGTCTTTCCTCATCCCCATGCAATATCTAGTTCATCTTGGGGTGTTGTTTAGTTCCCTACTTCTAGTTTGCAGCCTCTCCTCTTCTTTTTCTCCCACTGCATGAGAGGTTCTGTCTTCTCTGGGAGCTCTCATCCTTCTTGGTCGTGTCCACGTGCATCACCTTCAATGGATTTTGTTAGACCAGTGGAGTTTCATTTGGGATCCCTTGGACACCCTTCTCTTCCCTCCTCCTTTCTTACACACTGACTTCACCTGGTGGTTGGATAGAAACAACACCACTGTGGGCATTTCTCTTCCTCATCCTCATCCAAAATGTCACTTTTTTCCAGCTGCCTCTCTTTCTGGTTGGGGTGTTTCCCTATATGCTCGAGTGGTCTTGGGGCAGTGGAGTTTTCTCTCCATATCAGTCTCTTGGAGCTCATCACTGTCTGTTGGGCTTTTGTTCACTTCCTTCTGGTCAGAGTGGTCAATGGACCCACTGATGTTTTGGTGGCTCTGTTCCAGTGGGATGTTCCATTTCTGGATGTCTTTGCCACACTTATCTCAATTCCCAGCTTCCTTGGTATTGGTCTCATGTTCCACATCCATTGGCTGGAGCAGTAGATTCCCCAGTCAGGCTTGGACAGGCCTCTTCCCATTTGTCTGCTTCCTAATTTTCCTTTCCATCATCCAGATCTCTCCATGTTGTGTTCTTTTCAGGCATATTTTGTTTTACATTATATGCCCATGTCTTCCATTCACTTGCTCTTTCTCCCTTGTTTTATTCACCCTCCCTCACCCTGCCTCTCTTCTTGATTGAATCTTCAGTGTTCGTCCTCCATGCCCTTACCCTTCCTCTGTTTGAGTTTTTGTCCACCTGTTCCATCTCTCCTTACAGACCCTCTTCCTCGTCCTGTTGGCAGGCAGGTGTCATCGATCAGATATTTTCACTATTGATATCCACCTCGCCCTTTATCACTGTTCATATGTGAACAATGGCACTTAGTGATGAACTGGAGATGCACCCCCAATTCACTGTCCACCTTCCTGTCATTCCCCAGATGTCGTTTCCTGGCAGATATGGTGATGGTTATGTTTGATGTGCATAAATGATGTTGTGGGGAGTTCTTCCTGTGATTCCACCCTTATTACGATACATTTTCACGTGGGCAAAGAATATACCTGGCTTAGAAGTGGTGCAGTCTCCCACCGGGGTGCTGCTTTCCATTTATTCGCACACCCCATGGTCTTCCTTTGGGTGCTTTCTAAAGGTGGATCATCTTCCCACCAGACTCTTGCCAACTCTGTCGATTCTAGCTATTTGTGAGAAGAGGTAAGCTATCGTATCAGAAATTAACTTTTTCCTACACTGAAAATGTACTTTCAATAGATGCTTATCTCTTCTCACATTTCCCACCTGACCTCTCCACTTCCGGTGTAGGTTTTGAATATACTGCTCAATCTCGAAGTGATTACGGGTTGAATGGAAGAGAGGGTGCTAGTGATGATAGGAGTTGTGTCTCACTTCTATTGGTGGAGGGTTGCTGTATGATCGTTTGCATGATAGCATGTATTTGTCTGATGTGAGGGTAAGTGGGAGTATCAAGGCTAGTGGCAAGCAATAATTTGCACATATAAAGGGCCGTAAAGTCCAGAAAAGCTGTTTGTGAGTTGTGATAAATGTCTATCAGAAATATATTTTCAGTGTAGGAAAATGTTAACTTTGATTTCATCATAATAACTCATAAAACATTTTGGTAGTTTAATATTGCCAACTTTTACTTAGTTGTTAGGTCTGTTTAGTTATTTTGTTTTAAATTTAAATATTTTTGTTTGTTTTTATACACACACACACAGAGAAAATGTTCAGTAGATCAGTAATACCAACATTTTCTTGATCACTGTTTATTATCATCAGGGATGGCCTGCACATCTCCACCACAGATAGATCATGGATCATTTAACTGTATTCCTGGAAAGTTTGGAGAACTAACACCTGGAAGTATTTGTAACTATCACTGTGATGAAGGATATGTTACTCCTCTCAGCCAATCTGAGTTAATCACATGGATATGCCTCTCTAATGTACAGTGGAACATAACAGATAAACCCACCTGTTTAAGTAAGTAATTGGTTCTTTATTTAATGTGGTTTGATTTTTTTCAGTTTTATCTTTTCAATCGGGAAACTTATTCTGGCAGTGTTTAAGAAAAAAATGAAAGTTTCATTAATATTTTAGTATTAGATGTGTTCGCTTTATAATGGGAGGATCGACCAGGAACATTATTAAGTAAATCTTAATTTAGCTAAATGACTGAGTTTTAGCTAAAAAATAAACTGATTTGACACAGGATGTAAATTGAAAAATAATCTTTATTTGCATTGGAAAGCAAAGAGACATGTATACTGGACAGTCGACTTTCTACAGGATCACTGAACCAGTTAACTGTTATTATCCCTTGAGATGACTTTCCTTTGATTGACCAACTTTCTGAAACAATTGAAATTAGATGTAGACCTGTTCTGACAAAAACTGATACTCTCTTCAACATAGGAAGCCTCAATTTTACCCATAAGCTACAAGCATCACCACTTGACTGGTCATTCTATTGTAGCATACAAAGGCTGTAACCTCTAGATATCATCTACTCGGTCATGTGAAGAGCATTGCTGTTGATGACCTACCTTACCCTTACCTAACAATAGTATAGTAAGTTTACTAGACAGTACTACCCCACCGACGGACGAAGTAAGTATATTATACTGTCGTTAGTAGAACAAACGAA